AATCTATGAGAGATGGTTGATCAGATGTATTATCTATTCAAGAATCTGTACAGAGTAGATGATATAATAGTACAATGTCACAGGATTGCACTTCACTTAATTCTACACCAATCAGTGGGCTGTATTCGCGCCAAGAACCCCAAAAAGGAAATTCTCCACTTTTAATGACCAGGGTTTTCATCATATATTTGCTTCGCTTCGCTCCGCAAATTACTATATACTCCGTAGTTACCTCGAAGTCCCCGAACAACACACTGCAGCTTCTTCTGCTGGAACCAAAAGAAGAAACCCCACCAGCGTATGAAGAGACGCCGCTGTGTCTCAATGCCTCACTCTTCTCTTATCCTTGCTTGGCCCGTGTCCCCTCCCCTTCAAAAATAATGGATCCTGCCCCTGGACCCTGGACCCTGGACCCTGGACCCTGGACCCCTTGCCCCTTGACCCTTGACCTTGCGGAATGCGCGGATTTCTCCAAACAAGGCGCTCCTCCTGCCGTGTGTCCCTGGCCATGACTACTGGTGCGGACGGTGCTTCTGCTGCTTCTTCTTCTTCTTCTTCTTCTCCTCCTTTCCCCTCCATGAAAAAGTTGTGATTAAACCTTATCTCGCGACGTTTTTTTATTTTTATTTTATTTTTATTTTGGAATGAGAGAACCTGCTATTTTCCTGTTATATCTATGCGTAAAACGGAGCCAAGAGGGGGAAAAAAAATTGAGGTTTTCTCCCCCCTTGCCGACGGCATACAATACCACCCGCGCTATCAAAACAAAAATTAGGTAGTTGCAAAAGAACCAAGGAAAAAAAACATGGGGAAAGAAATTAGTCCCAATAAAACCAATTAATTGGACCTGCACCCGTGCCACCGATACCCAGGAAACATCCAAGCATACTCCGACGAAACCCCCTAGATAGAGAGTTATTAAAAATGATTAAAATTAGAGCCAACTACCTTTGCCCCTTTGCTCTTTTTCAACAAACCCTCCCCGAGATAATTCTCTCACCCACACGGAATCCAAAAAGGCAAGCAAAGACACATAAGGATAATGCGGCGGCTTGACTGGCATTACACGCGTATCAGGTATCATACCCAGGCCGTCATATCATCATAACCAAAAACGGAAGGGACGGAGGACACTAAGATGAATAAGATAAAATAAAAAGAAAATCCAACGCAATGTTCGGAACGGAGACTGGTGGAACGATCATTCCACTCGCGGCGGGCTTCTCGATCTCTTCTCGCGCTGGCTATCGGATGTACCGTTGGAGTTGGAATTTGAACTTGCATTTACACTGGACCTGTTAAAACAATAGAATGTCTTTTCGGAAATCAAGAGGCATTAGGTTGCCCGTTGATATCCCCAGACAAGCCTTAGCATGAATTCTTTGATCTGATGGTGCACGTTTGTCGGTGGTGATATGGCGGCAAAGGTGGAGGATAAACGGGCCAAGAACTCTCCGTCCCGCCAGACCTCGGTTCTGAGCCTGGCCGAAAAGTCGGAGTCTGGGAAGAACAATAACGGTAGAACGGGAAGCGCGAGGACAGTGGCCAGCAACAGTAGTGAACTACAGACAAATATGAAAGTAGATACGTACGATCTACGCCGTTGTCCCTTCTTCCTGAACCGCTCGATGATGCGAACAATCTCCTTGCGTCCGTTGTTCGCGTTCACCCTCATGCCCCTGAGACTCATGCTGATCTTCTCCGAAGAATTGGCCATCAGCAGCCGTTTGAGGAGCAGATGGCGCATGTGTAGGCACACGAAGACGCCGCAGTCACTGCTGTTCTCCTGCACTGGTGAGTCGTCGAGGTTGATGAAGCGGAGTTGTTTGTTCAGGAGGTGGGATAGCTTCTGTGTGGCTTGGAGCGCTTCGTCGCAATTTCCAGGCGGGAGTGAATCATAATGGAAGGCGACGCCATCCACGACGGATACGAGCAGAAGAGACCAGTGGGTGCCGCCTTCGGCCTCGTTGACGTTGCGGCAGTCGTTGATGGGGAGGAAGATGTGACTGGTTTTGGTGAAGTCGGGTAGTACATCGCGGAGCGTGCGGGGGTCTGGAGTTTGAAGTAGCATAAAGGACATGCTTGGTCGGAGAAGGACAATATTGGCAGATTGGTAGTTGACGAGGAATTCGCGTTCCAGGTACCTAGACAAGGTTGTGAACGGCTGCATGCAAAACCAACATCATCTTGTTGTATGATGGAATAGATAACCATACTCTTCCCAGAATGCAATAACCTATAGCACATTAACACCACCATCAGTACGAAAGCCAAATAAGAAGAATAGGGAGAGAGATATAGCAAAAATAATCCCAGCTAGTTGTAGTACGTACATTATCTGTCAACCAATCCGTCTTGAGGGTATATATATCTTCATTTGTTACTGCAGCATATCGCCATTATTAGCCACCAAGTGTCCCGAGCAATATGAAGAAGCGTGGAAGGGGGAGGAAGCAGCTTAGAAGCCGGAGGGAAAGATACGAACAGCGAACATCATGATCTAGACCAGATTCCCGAATCAACCACCAAAAGTTAGCTCTGAGTTAATTGCATCCAGCAAAACCCAAACGAACCACATGAGGGGAAGCGATCTGGAGAGAGGAGGATATACCCCTGTTGGGGGGGGGGGAGGGGAAGGGTTATGGTTACGCACAGCTAAGATATGCATCGTCCGGACTCGACTGCAGGAAGTCAGTACTATAACTCATAGTTGAAATGCGATCCCAGAACTTGTTGAGCAGCGCGACATCGTTCAAATAAAACATGACAATATATCCAAGGGCCCCTCTCCTCTGTCTCGATAGGCCTTGAACTGGCTTAGTAGAGAGTAGAAGCCAAGCGCAGAAAGAACAAGCTGTCAAGCTTGGCTAACTGGCACAAACGGACGCATAGAGATGGAGAGATGGAGAGAGAGAGAGAGAGAGAGAGAGAGAGAGAGATGAGACAACGCCCGGGTCAAAGGGGATGAGGGAAGATGGAAGTCCGAAGCACCAACACCAAGCACCAACACCAACCCAGGAAGCGATGATGAGAGTGAAAATGACAATGAAGAGTAGCGCAATAAATACACTGCGCAAAAAAAAGACAGCTTTCAAACAAAAGAACCGGGAATCCGCGTGGATGAATGCTAGTGCAATGTTGAAATCAGGATGTACCGGATAACCAAAGCCGGCTCAGCGGCACAGGGCTTTGCCTGGCTAGCTAGCTACAGCATACAAGGCGTGGCGTATATTCCACAAGGCAAAAAAAAAGCAAATATAATATCAAACAGAGCAACGTACCGAATCGCCAAATCGGCCTCTCATCCGATCCTTGAAGCGGTTGAAGCCGCCTTCGCCCATTGTTATCGTTGTAGGCTGCCGGTGTAGTGCAAGGTTAGGTAGCTAGTAGTACAGTGTAGTAGTGCCCGTCGTGTGATGTAGATATTTAGTTTATGTGTGTCTCTTCCCAGCACGAGCTAGACGCAGCAGGAATGGATTGTGATGGGGATTCCCAGATGTCGATTCTGATTTCTAGCACTAGGCGCTTAGGAGAAGCGGAGGGATTGTAGAGGAATAGGAGCAAGTCGGAAGGCGGCAGTTATGGGAGACAAGCGTGTTAGTTTTGTCGTGAGGGGGATTCGATGCTCAAGTTCGTACGATGAGGCTCAGAGGGCGTTTGTCCGGGCGATTGACTGATCTGCTGGTGAGACGGAATGGTGAGGATGAGAGGTGGCGAGGGGGGGAGAGAGAGGGGCGGAACACTACAAGTATCTAGAGGTGGGGGTTGGAATAATGAATAGACTGAGGACGAGTAAGAAATGAAACAAGAAGATATTAGGTATTAAGATTTTGTATAGAGATAAATCAAGCGACGTTGCATGCAGAGACCACGGGGGGCGGGAGATGAGTAACTGGGGAGTCGAGTGTCCTGTCCGTTATAGTCTATATATCTTCCTTCCCAGTGAACTAGGCTAGGGGCAAGCTTCTTTGATCCCACGATGGAGTTCGCGGGCCGAGGCGATGCCAAGACAGCAGGGACGGCGGTTCTGCAGGAAAAAAAACACACTAGCCACGGAGCTGTTATTCTGCATATTGGAGTATGTATTTACTTCATTGACTCCTCTGATTTTCACAGGCTGATCTAGTAATTTCATATCCTCTTCTTCAAGCTATTCCCTCCCCCTCTACTAGACAAAAGATAGGAGTCTTATCTTCGCCTCTTTTGCTGATGGAAACGTTTAGGCTCAAGTGTGGCGTTACAGGGGTTTGCCAGTTCCCGCAAGACTAGGTACACGACATGCTATCTCGCTGTTCATAACAATCAATCCGCTGCCCTTCATCCGTCGTACTTTTAACAAGGAGCATCCCATTCGCATTCAATTCACCCGTACGTCATCCCGTCGCATTCCTTATTCGGGGAAGGCAATAAGGGGCCGCATAGGATCAAAAGGCACAAATATTAGAATGGAAGGAAAGACACAGCAACGAAAAATGAAGAAATAAAAAGACATAGTCGGAAAGCCCAAATAAAAACTTAACGCCAATGCGAGAATGTTAAACCATTATATGAAGTCACTATAGAGGAAATGAAAGAAACGGCATATAACGCTGTATGTCAAAAAGTTGAGAAAAGCAACAAGGGATCAAGGCCACACTAAGCAGGATCCGTTATTTGTAGGATTAAAGGGGGGTTCAAAATGTGGACGGACACAAGACAACACGAGCAGCCACCAATCAACATATCAGGAACCGCTCGCCCCGGTGCGTCAAGGCTGGGTATCTGACAGGACTGTGCTAAGGGAATCTTGCATTGCACTGCTCCATGTAGGAGATCAAAAGAAGAATACGAGATGAAAAGAAAAAGGAGAAGGGGGAAAAATATAACAATGTTCGGCATGTTTCTGAAATGGCTAGAGGACAAGGGGACAAGGGAATTGGTTGGGGAATATGAGCTAGACTTGATATTCAAAAAAAAAAAAAAAAAAAAAAAAAAAAAAAAAAAAAAAAAAAAAAAAAAAAAAAAAAATCAAGAAAGAAAAAATGAAAATCAAAAGCATGAATATGATAAACAAAAATTGCGAACATGAAAGCATTCGAGAAAATATATCCGATAGGTATCAAAAGGCTGCGTTGAGCGTAATTAATCATTATAACCCCATATAATATCGCACACGCCAAAAACACCAAGAAGAGCAATGTAAAAGAAAAAGAAAAAGAAAAAGGGGAAAAAGGAAAAAGGGCCTCGGTATGAGGTTCGTGTGTTCCTGCGGTTAACCAACGAACCAACCAATTCTATACAATCCTTACTTAGAAGAAGAAACAAATCATTCCTTATTCTTGCCAGTATCCCTCCTAGCCAGCTATCCAGCAAGTTTCGAAAAATGTTTAGTCCAAATCCATCCAACCTGACGGGTCGGGTCGTCCTGGTTCCGCGCTAGCCACAAATCGCCCTTCTCACCAATAACATCGAAGATCTCCCCGGCGACATATGTCAGGTATGGGTACCCGGCCTCCCGGCGCGCGCGGTCGATGTTAAACTCGAACAAGCTTGCCACAGGGAATAGGACGGCTGGATCCTTCTGTTTCTCCTCGTCCGGCACGGGTGTTGCCGTCTGCGGCGATTCGTTCATGGGCATTGCGGACGAAAAGAAGCTGCCGGTTCGTGCTACGGTGGGCGAGGACGGGTGGAGGGCGGGGTCGGGCGGGGTGCCCCGGTTATGCAGTGCCATTAGCGGATCAGCGAGAATATCTTGTAGCATTGGGGTGTCGAGAGAGAGTCGCGGGAGTGACGGAGTCCCGTCGGAGGGTCGGCCGGAGTTGGCCCCGCTACCGGGGTTCTTTAGTGCGGTCATGGACGGTACAGCTGGCCCATTCGACACATCGGGTACGCCTGAGGCGCGGCCTGAAAAGCCAGAGTTGGTACGCACTCGCCCACTCGAGAATACCTGAGACCCATTGTGTTGCTGGGTAAAGTTATCGCCGGGAGACGACTGCATGAAGCTGCCAGGGGTGCTGATGCCGAAATCATGAGATAACTTCGGAGAGTTACTCTGCTCGAGGGAAGCAGCTCTGTTAGTAATGGCATTCTGAATGTTCATGCTATTCACTGTTGAGGGTCTGCGAGATGACGACGACCCGTCCGCCGCATTAGAGGCCGACGCTGAGGGTGAATTGAATCCTGCGACTTGGGCAATGTCTGCAAGAATGGATCCGTTGCAGATGCCCAGTGACAATACCTGAGCATCGCTGAATGAGAAATCTGCAGCCCAATCGGACTTGATTTGCTCCAGATCATGGAACGTCGTCCGCTCGAAAATATACCCCAACCGCTTTTGTATCAAGTTGAGCCAAGTCTTTTGAAGTTCCACAAAGTTATGCAGGCATGCATCTGTCAGCTTCCCCGTCAGAGCAAAAAGCTTTGGCAGCTCCTCCTTAAGTGTTACGTCCAAAGCAACAAATTGCTCCCCTTGCTCAGTGGTTTTCTTGTCTGCCTTGTCGCCACGGTCTTTGAGTGTTTTATATCGTATATAATCCATCAGTCGTTTGTTCCGCTTCTGCATCACGCGTCGAGGACCATCGTGTAAGCTGATGAGCGTGACCATGGGGACAATCACGCTTTTCCTTACGGCTGAAACCTAGTTAATGACAAAAAAATAAAAATGAAAAATAAATTAGCTTCGACTCCAAAGTCAACCAAAAATATGCGGGACGCGATAACTTACATGATCGACAAGCGCCACAGTCAACACATCTTTCACAGCAAGCCTGAACCGACACCATTTGCTTTCCAACTCAGGATAATTCGAAGGTGCAACATTAATATATGCTTCGATCGCAAGAACATAATCATGAAACTTCTTTATGGAAGTCTGCACCTCGGTGGTATAGAGCTCCACGTCCCGCATGATCAATTGGAGCTGGAAGAAATTGTCTCCAAACCTTGAATTTAGTATGGTAAATTCTTTATCTGCATATACGTCTGTGATGCCAACGTGTGCCTTGATTTTTTCCGTGCGCCGCCCGAATGCCTTCGAAAGCCCTGTCCGGACGTCGGATTCCTTGCGCTTCCGACCACTGACGATCTGTCCAACTACGTCGGCCCGTTTCTTCATGTCATTGATCCTTACGGATATGCTGGTGGTTTCGCGCAGCGCATTTGTCAAGGCAGCATGGTCTGGATGGTCTGGGGGAGTCGCACTGAGCAGTTCTGTTAGCAGCAGAGGGTACTTGACAATGCGCTGAACAGGCTTCACAAGCAAGGAATCCAAGTTCCATGCCGATGTAAGATCTACGGCCCAGTCCCGGCACTCCTTCAGCCATATATTAACATTATTCTTCCGCATGAGCATCTCGAGTGTCCTATTAGCCGCATCATGATTCCGCAGGTATTCAGAATATACTTTCTCCATCCGTTCGATGTGCTCAACGAAAACCTGGCCAATTGAAGTTTGCCGGTCCTTTTCATCGTCTGAAGCTTCCGAGGATGGATTGGTTTGGCTATCTACCGTGGAACCGTTCATCTGCGTGGATCTGTTGCCACGCTTGCTCTTCCATCGCTGGGATTGTGGTAGTACATAAACGCTCTTTGAGGCGCGTTTCAGAGAATCCTGAAAGTCCATCGAGAACTGTACAACCTGGTCGGAGTTACCAAACAGCGTTTTGATGTCATCCTGAGACAAGTCCAAGCAGGAGCTGGAAGTTCCCTTGTAAATATCGACAACAACTGTCATATCCTGGCCAAATGTGTGCTCTGTATCGACTAGCTCCTTGATGACATGCTTTCGCTTTTTCAGGCGGCGCTGTTCGGGGGAAGGAGAAGATTTCACCGCTGGGGCCTCAACGCTAGGTTGTTCCGCGCTCGATTGTTCCTGTGATGTAGTCGACGACGCTAGTGTTTGTGGAGATGGTACCAAACCGGCCTGCTGAAGAGATGACTCTTCGCGACTTCGTACGCTTGGTATAAGTTCTATTGATGGGATACGTGGGATACTAGACGGGATAGTGGACGGCGGGTTATTTGAGTATATACTTGGAGATGACTGTACAGGTGGTTGTAACAACGGTTCGAGAAATTGTTCAGGAATGGAACTTGAACGGATGGGGATGGGCGGAGGTGAATGGTTAGGTAATGGAGGCGGGGGGATGGTAGGTGGATCGTCGTCCTGAGGAGACTGGACATGAATCGCAAGGCCTAATCCTTCCACCGCCTCCTTTTCGGCCGAAAATTCTGGCTCTATAGTAGCGAGCCGTGGGGTTTCTACTTTCTCACGAACAGCGTTGGGTGAGTTTGCTGGGCCTTCTTCTGCTGCCGCTACGTGCATCCAATCCACCACTGATGCAGAAGCTTTCTCCCAGTCTTCTCTAAAGTTCAAACTCGCCCGGTGTTGAACATACTCCGATCTTGGAACATTTATGGACTCAGGTATTATAATGGGATCCTCACTCAGGGCATCATTTTTGTGGGTATCGTCACCCCGAGAAGAAGGACGGCTCGTCTGGACCCGTGCGGCAACCCCAAAATCGGACTTGAGCAAATGCGATCCCTCGAACCCTAGCTCCTGCAGGAAGAGTTGGGTTACGCGTTTCGAGTTCCAACCGCCCTGCTTGGCTAAATCAGGATACTGCTGCATCATATGCGTAGTATAGCGTACATTATGAGCTGTGGGTTCGCTCGGGAGGTCATGAGTGTCGCGCTGCATTGCAATTTCGCCAGTCGTGGGTGAATCGGCGCGTGCTTGCGATTCAGGGGGTTGCGGAGTTCGGTTATTTCCACCCGTAGGTATGGATATATGAACATCTGTCTCTGGTGAGTTTTCCGTAATCCGCCCAAGCGGCCCGTCTATGGACTGTCGATCCTGAATAGAGGAGCTCCAAGAGCTCATACTCCAACGATGACGGTCCACATCGATCCTGAAATCACATGGGATGTCACAGGGTTCAAGGTTATCACTGCTGTTGTACTGTGATTCGTCAAAGTAGTGACTTCGCCGAAGCATAATTTTGATTGACTCCTTATCGTCTCTTCCAGAGTAAGAATCAGACGAAGCGGAGCTGCTTGGACTGGATTCTCGCATCTGCATGATTTGGCTTAGGACGGTTCGGTGTTGCTGAGAGGATGGTTGGGGGAAATCTGTTTGTGGCTCCTGATCAAACGTGGTAATGTCGGTACCCACTGTCACTGCAGAGGGTGGAGCAATATCAGAACACGGCGTTTGGCATCGGGGAATATCTAGTTGGCTGATTGATTTCTCGACAAGGTCCGTAGCGGAGCAGATGTTGTTATTCGCATCGAATGTTACACGGCGGCCCGCTTCGAGATGTTCCGCGATCGCGTTGACGAGTTTTGGGGATCGTCCTTCGTCGGGTGTAACGAATATATCTTGCTCATCCCCAATGCTAGGAGTGCCTGGTCGACTTTCAATTGTTATCGGCAATTGGTCGCTTATTTCGGTGGGCTGTGGCTCCTTTCGTGATTCTTCTATGGGCGCGGTGGTTGTCGGCGTTATGGTTTTGCCTACATCACTCGAGGCTTTCTCTCGAGCCGACTGACGACGGAGAATTGCACGTTCTTCCCTTTTCGCATTTTCTTCCACCGTTTTATTAAATGCCTGCTGGATTTTCTGGCGCCGGGCAGCAAAATCAACATTCCCTAGTTCCGGCAGTCGTCTTGATTTTGTCCTCGAAGGTTTGGAATCCCTAGTGGACGCATTGGACTGGTTTTGTAGACTGGAAATCCTATCTACTACTCTTGCGCGTGATGCTGAAGTAGTGGCCGACGACACTGGTTGGCGTGGTCTTGAACTGCGAAGTGGGGGAGATTTCTTCGGGGGCGGAGCGGATATATAAGCGTTAAGTCTGGGGCTTTTGTCAGGGGTGAGGTGAGAGGTCTGGCCACGATTATGTCGTGCGGCTGATGTTACTTCTAAGGTGGTAGGTGGGGCTTTGGAACTGGGAGAATTTCTAGGGGAGCGTTTCGGAAGCGCACTCAAGCCCTTCGGGGGAAGAGTTATTTGGACGTTATGTCGATCCATGGCTGAATTAGTTCGTGTAGAAGGCGTAGAACCGCCGGAGTCGGAAGCTTGGCTGAGGCGGCGGGTTGAGACTGGGATCCGTGACTGTGAGTTTGATTTGGGGCGCATTTTGATGGCGACAGCCGGCTGTAGGCCGCCTTGGTTAATTGAAATACCCATGCTTGGGTCTGATATATCGGAGGCAGCAGTGGAGGAGGAGGAGGTGGTGGTGGTGGAAGGTTTTGTAACCAGATCGCTTCGAGATCTTCGATGAGTAACCGGGGGTTTTGCAGTAGTATTCAAAGTATCAAAAGATGAAGAGTACCCTAGATACCAGGCAGTAGGTGATGTTGGAGAGAATGCACTATCGGGTGCTACAGGTAAGTCGACAAACATCGGATTGGGCATGTGCATGCTACCATCCGACCCTCTGCGCCAGCGAGGCGACGCAATATCGCGGTCATGAACAACAGGTCGAGGGTGACTAGGGATGATTTCACCAAATAAAGGTCGCCTAGCTAGAGGTGGTCCGAACGAATTCGACGTGCTGTTGTTCACGTTTATTGAAGACTGGCTGTGGCGACCCGGACGTTCAGATCGAGGAGGTGATCGAAAATCCCCCTGATCACGGGTCCCCCTTTGGAACTGTTGTTGGGTACTACTGGCGCGAGAATGTGTACTGCCACGACGACCAGGACTTCCGTCCCTCGAAGACGCAAGAGAGTGTGGTGGTCTCGGGGGAACCTGGTCGAAATTTTGGTTGAACTTATCCACCAGCTCCTTTAACGATGATTGTCTCTGCTGTGGGTTTCTCTGCACGGAAGGGTTGATTGAGCTTGGTCGTGAGGCACTAAAAAGGGCGGCTTGCGGAAGATTAGAAGAGGACGCGCGGTATGGGCGGGAACGGGATGAGAAAGGAGGGCGGTGGGAAGTTGGGGAGTAGTTGTGATAATCGCTAGCGGAGATGTTCGTTTTCCTTGCATATGAGGCAGAAGTCATATTTCCACCGAAGTCAGTATGGCCATCACCACCGAAAGGGTCATTGTATTGTAGGTAGAATTCGCGGGGGTCGGGTGAAGCCTCATCACTCGTGGGGTGATGCCGCCTGAAATTTAGATCTGTAAAGTTTGTGGTGAGTGACAGCTGTCGAGGAGATGTAGGAGGACCTGGGGCTTTGTATGTAGTTGCGGGAAGTAGCGGGAGACGGGAAGACAAGGGTGACGAAGAGTGGGAGGATTCGTTATTATTGTCAAACTCCCGATCGGAGGAGCCCGCCTCGAGATGGTTTACTGAAGGGAATTGCGAATTCGGGCCCGACTGGTGAAAGGAATGAAGATGGTGATTCAACGAATCATAATTGTGTTCCACCTCATTAGTAGGCATCTTGCACGTAGCCCGACTAGGAGCATTACCAAGAATAAAAACGTAATTTTAAAATTACTGTTTTAACAAAGCGGAAAAAAAAAAAAAAAAAAAAAAAAAAAAAAAAAAAAAGTGTGAGGACTGCAAGGCGATGAACTCTCCGGTAGGGTAGGCCTCTGTCGAGCTGAGAGGCGTGAGCGGGGCGGAACGAGAGAAAACACACGACGGACTAAAAGCGGGTCGGGATAGCCAGAAAACTAGGGTAAAACAGCATTCGGATGAGGAAGAGGGAGAGACAGGCTGTCCAGCATCCACACGACGTGGCAGATTGGGTGACCAGGGATTTCAGGTGTCAAGTCATCTCGTTGGCTGAAGCGGAGAACGAGGCATGTTGAGGTGTCCCGATTCCTCCACCAAACACCAATCACCCCCCAACGATAGGAGCTTGCTAGTCGGAGTTCCAGGTCCCCGTTCGTCCTGGGGTTTAATGAGGTCTTAGGATCGGGGGTGTCAGACACTGTTTGATGAGAGAGTAATCTTCGATGGGAAAGGCCCTAGTAAACGAGAGACTTATTTGGGGTGGGAGAGAGAGGAAGAGTAAGTAATAAGAACCATGACTATAGCTAGATTAAAAAAAAAAAAAAAAAAAGAAAAAGAAAAAGAAAAAGAAAAAGATAGGATAATAAGGAAGAGGACAAGCGCTGAGGACGAAACGACAAGGTTCAGAAGCAGCGCAAATCAACGTCTTGGTTTGCTCACCTTTACCACGCTGACAAGGTGCGTTAGAAGAGAAGCCGGACGCGGAACAAGTTGCCGGCAGGGAGATAAGTGCATATAAAATGACAGAGCGCAAAAGGTTTCTCTCAGAGGGTAACCAGAGAAGTAAGCTGAGAGTGAGTGAGACAGACAGACACACAGGCAGACAAAGAGAGCAACAATCAATGTCAGAGGAAACGGGAACGAAGAGTTCCTGCGAGCGACGTGGTCAAGGTTGGATGAACGGACGGTTAATTATCAACGACGGAAGACGAGACGATGGGGGGTTGGGGGTGGGTGAGGGGATGAGGCGACGACAGTGGAATGAGGGAGAAATGCCCAACGTTTGATTGATGGAAGGAGGATGATGATGATGATAATGATGATGATGATGATGATGGAGGTGACGGGGCGAGGGGTGTGGAGAGAGAGGACAAGCCAGATTGGCGGTCACGGACTCGCGGTTGGGTTGTGGAAGGTAGAAAATGGGCTAAATATCTAGTCTAGCTGGAGTTCATGTCGGAGCCTCCAACCATTTTATCATGTTATGCAGCTAAGGCCGGAGCACAGAAGGCGGCGGAGATCGAGCGAGCCTTTTCATTCGGCCAACAGCCCAACAACTCCTCAAAATCTGCAACAGGATCAAGCAACCTAGCAGAGGAGTGGGATGGGTTTGTGCCTGAGAGCTAGAACAAGATATTTATCTGTGGACAAACACAGCAGTGCTCTGTAATCCATACAGTTGTACCTGGCTGGGTTGGGCTACGTTGCTTGGTCAGATGTTGAGGGGAGAGGGGGAAGAGAAGGGAGAAGAACAACAAGAAGTAGAACTAGAGAGACTACTAGCTGTGATACTAAGGTGTGCAACTCGGTGCCGTGACTACAGCGTATGTATGTACTGTACTAATGGCGATGATGATATGAGGTTAGTTAGTGCTAGTGATAGAGATAGAGATAGAGACACAGAGTAGATGGGTGGATGTTGGTTGAGGCGGAGGCGGTGGTGTAGTAGTAGTAGTAGTAGTAGTAGTAGTAGTAGTAGTGGTGGTGGTGGTTTTGTTGCGATGGATGATGGAACAAAGTGACGACGGTGTTTTTATGACGAGAGCAATTGAACTGCGTTTATACGGATCGATCCGTAGTCTGGGCTGTTGAAGGCCCTGAAAATTTGTTGTTCGCCAGGAACAGCCTACAAGTAGTTACGGAGTCACTACGGAGTTCCATACGGAGGACAAAAATGTTTTGACTTAAAAGCTCAAAAACAATAATGGGGTTCCAAGGTTCGCGACAACTCTATTACAAAAGTAACAACCTTGTTTATTTATATTTACTTTTACGTAGTTAATGCTTTGCTTTTTTATATCCAGTCAGTCAGTATTATTATTATTATTTACTTGAATGTGGTGCCAACTTTTGACCCACTTTTATGGACACAGTGTTCAACTTTTTTAGCCTCCATCTAAAGGACACATCCCACCAAACCAACCGAGGTAGTTAAGGTATGTACAGTACATGTAATTCCTCACACAATAGTTAACTGTTGGGGGTCCCGCGGTTGATCGGCCCTTCTACCAGCAGTGCGCTGGTGGTGATTGAGCTCTTTTGTCCCAGTAGCCTACAGGTTATGAGACTGTTAAGCGTGAGCCCCGCTGTGATCAACATGCATGGATTCAATCTCAGAATGGACTTAAAAATTCCTAACAAATACCCTGGACATTTTAACAGTGCCAAGAGACATCCCAGGAGTGTGCCCTAGAAGTCCCTTTAAGCCGTAGGACTGAGTGAGTCCACTAAGAGGAGCCATTGTGGGGAGCCACTGAAGGGAGCCACTGAGAGGAAGTACTGTACTCTGTGGTAGCTGGTCCGAGGGGGGGTGTTGGGGGTCCCGCGGTTGATCGGCCCTTCTACCAGCAGTGCGCTGGTGGTGATCGAGCTCTTTTGCCCAGTAGCCTACAGTTTTGGCTTGCCAGCCTTCAGAAATACCTTATGCGGAGGATCAGCGTCGCTGGCGGGCCATCGGCTGCCAGGCGGGAGTGCGCAGCGTAGTGTGCGATCCACCAGGTGGTCGGTCCTTTTTCTCTGCCCTACGCATAGTATCGTTCTCTTCTTCAATTTTTTCCCCTCTATTGTTTCTTCCCCTTACTTCTTCGTGCTTACTCTATATGTATTATTTGCTAGTTATTATTATTCTTCTTCTTCTTCTTCTTCTTCTTCTTCTTCTTCTTCTTCTTGTGTTCCTCGCGTATCCAGTTCCTTTTCTTCATGGCCCCTTATTCTGAAACACGCAGAACCAAATCCAACGCCAATCTAGATTCGACAAGACCTCGCATCGTTGACTGGCGACTCCCAAGGTCCCGTTCTAACCCGTTGCAAAGAATAAAGAAGTTGGCTAGTTATTATTATTACAGCGTAGTTAACTCACAATTTTTCGCGACCAACATTGCGATAAAAATAGCAGCCCAACCCAAGCCACCGCTTGAGATTTCGCGAAACGGCGTCAGAAAACATCCGTCGCAAGGCGTCTGTCTACTTTTATTTATTTATTTTCTTTTCCCTTTTGCATCGCTAGTTAACCTTTGTCTTCACGATCTATTTTCCGGTCAGTGTCATTGATTTATTGCAGTTGTTTCTACACTACTAATTCACAATTGCCCTAAAATAACTACTCCGTAACTGTTCTGAGAGATGTCTCACTGACCGTCCGACAGTTTACAATCTGTTTCTGCTATATATGTACAGTCACTTCACAAATGTAAAATCTAAATCTATGATTTATTCAAGTAGCGAGAGAATATTAATTATTAATTATCTCAACAACCAGAGGTCTATATACATTAAAACTGATATTATAGAGAAAATTAAGTACTACCTAGTAACTGTGCCATGCTTACTCACTCTCTCTAGTGAGTGCACCACAGTGTATGAAGTGTATACAGAAAACTTGACCTCGCTAAGTGCACCACTTGACCTTGTTACATAATCATGACCCTGACCTCACACAATACAGTAATAATCAGTTGATAATTGACTTTCAATCTTTCAATTCACTCATTCATTCAGCTCATCAATCAATCAAAGCATGTATAGCTGATTCATAATTAATTAAATGAACAGATAAATTCATATAGAATATAAAGAGATATTTTACAGAATTTTAAAATATATCAAGATAAAAATATTTCATAATTAATTTTAAATTAATTTTGAATTGATTCTAAATTGATTCTGAATTAATTATAGTAATAAAAATAGATTCAATCTATATATTTAAGTAATTAATAATTGATTGAAAATCAGTTGATAATCAATTCAGTATAAATTATATAAATACTTACTTTATTATTAAATTCAAGAATAATTTCAGTATTAAATTAATTTTAAATTGATTTTGAATTAATTATTAATTAATTATAGTAATAAAATAAATTCAATCTATATATTTAAGTAATTAATAATTGATTAAAAATCAGTTGATAATTAATTCAGTGTAAATTATATAAATACTTACTTTATTATTAAATTCAAGAATAATTTCAGTATTAAATTGATTTTAAATTAATTTTAAATTAATTATAGAAGTGATGATAAATAATTAAGTGATTTTAAATTATGTGATTCAAAGGTTTCTTCAGCCAGTGTATGATTACAGGCGTACACTGGCTTCTTATATATTGTAATATCATATGCTAATTTAATTAGCAGCTGCTATGACCTCTTTACACTCATACATGTATACTAGTAGTTTGAAAGCAGCTGCATTATTATCTGACAGTTGTATGTTCTTCTGAATCATATCCTCTCTTATCAGATTCAGTCATGCTCATATAATCATGTCATACACTCTAACTTCATGTGAATTAGCTTATCACTAGCATTTTGCAATTGTGTAATCTATCTCTGATTCAGCTAGCATTCTGCATACACTCTTACAAAGAAACTTTCACTATATTACATCACTTATTTACTAACTTTTCTCATTCTTTAATCATCTTCTTCATTTCATCATTATTAAATATCATCATTATTCAAGATTTCTATATCTTCTTCTATTCAACTCTTTCTATCTGTTTATCTATTATATTATACATGTTCCTGACAATAACTCTCTGTTTTTATAATAAGCATTATTGTAGTGTCTATACTGAGTAGTTTGTTAGCAGTGAGTGTAACACATTGTGAAACATATATAATCAGAACTTGTTTATCTTCTAATAATTATTAGAATGATGTATTATTATGAATAATAACACATTTTCTTCATCTTCTTATACACTCTTAATTATTTCTTCTTCTCAGTGAGTTTCTGATCATATTTTCTAACATGATTTTATGTAAATGCAGATGCTGATATGTTTGTTTTTATTTATATAGAATTATTATGTGTTGACAGATCTGTGTCTGCTGATGATAATGAACTCAGTGTTGAATCATTAATTGAGAACTTGAAGAATGTGATAATAAAGAAATTATCTGTATTATATATGACTGAGTCTTCAGTGTCTCTCTCTGTTTCTTCTGTTACTTCTTTCTCTACTACTCTCTTTCAATCTTCTACACTTGTCTCTGTGTCTGATTCTCCTGCTTCTGCTATCTCTGTTCTTATGACCTCTACTCTCACTACTTCTGATTTTATCATCTCTGTCTTTCTTACTAGCTCTCTCTGTTTCAAGAAGATGTTGTATAGACTCAGTGAATCACATTTCTCAGTATGTATACTCTCACTCTTCTTACTGACTTCTAGAATAATTTATTATATAAAAACTGTGTATAACATAACTATCTGAAGCTCAGTCACAGACACTGATTATTATATTCATTTTAAATATTCATGATGAGATAATTATTTATTTATATCAGAGAATCACTTCTCTTTTTAACAGTGTTAAGATTATAAGTCTTTTTCTTTTTCATCTTTTCTTTCTGACACTGATTTTTCTATTCTTAGAGAAAATTGTTATGAGTTTTACTGTGTACAAAGTCATGATATTCACAGATATCAAGAAACTTTTTACAACTGTAAAGTTCAATATTACAGAGATATTCACTCTGATAAATTTCTTCAGAATGATTGATTTGTATTAGTCTATTCTCTGATATCTGTCATCTGACTTCATGATGCAGACAAAAGATATTCATGTTTTCAGAAACAGAAATACAGATATTGTACTCTTTTACATCTGTGAGTATAAGGCTTGTATACCTTATCTGAGATGTTATTATGAGAATGAGCTGTTTATATACTGCATTCTGCTTTCTGTATTCTCTCATGTTTCTCTCTCTCTTTCTGAGAAGGCTCATATGTGTTGCAATTGTATGTATAACTCTAAAACTAGCAGATGTTTATTCAGTAACTGTTCTCATCTCTGATTTTATGATTTTCATATACTAATAATGATTCTTAGTTGCTTCAGTGTCAGAGATTATTCTGATTGAAGATGATAATGTTATCAAGACTACTCTCTTCTGCTCTTAAGCTTCTTCTGTCACTTTCTCTTTCTTCTCTGTGAGAAAGATTGTGTGTACACTGAGTTATAAGTATTCAGCTCTGAGTGACTTCTGCTGTTATTTATTCAGTTCTATGTCTTCTTCTTCTTCTATTTCTTTCATCTCTGTTCTCTCTGCTCTGACTTCTGATTCTGCAGGTCTCACACTTTTCTTCAATTTCTCTACACATACACATACACATTTCTATATTGGCATTTCAGTCAATCTTGTGATAAATGACATTAATGTCATACACAGAGCAGTAGAGAAATCAGAGATGTGTGTGATATTATTATAAGAGCAGCTTACAGCTCTCAAATCTCTTACAGATCTCAAGTTTTGAGATTTTCTTTGTTTTTGACATTTTTCAGATGATGTGATGTTGGAAATAGATTAAACATGTGATGTATAAAAATGAATAAGATATATATAATAATATTTGTCTTTTTGCAGCTGACTCTTATGATTAGTAATCAATTCATTATTTCTTTTCTTACACTTTTTCTTTATCTGCTAGCTACTACTCTTATATAATCTCTATATAATACAGTGTTTGATGACTAGATTTGACAGCTTTCATCTTTATAATTCTGTCTCACATATTATACTGTCTCTCTTCACCTGCTCAGACTACTACAGTGAATAGCTCATTGAAACTAATCTCACTCAATCTCTGAGTATTCTCAGAAGTTGAGATGACTTGGTCTCATATGTTTACAGATGTTTTAGATAGTTCATTCTCTGTGATCTCTGTGATTGAACTGATATAAACAGTTGAATTCAACTCTGAATTTCTTTTTCTTCTGTAATCTGACTTATATACAAGTCTGTCACTCTGAGATTACTCTTTACTATGTTGCATCTGCTATCTGCAGTATGTTATCATATAATCAGCTACAGTCTCATCACTTATTAAAGTGTGATGATCATCTGATTTCTTTATTACTTCTCATTCTTTTCTTATAATTATGAAAAGATCAGAATAAGTGAGATCATCTGATTTATAAGTGTCTATGATTTCTCTTACTTCATGAGACTTTTCAATTATAAGTCTCTTCTTTTTCAATACTGATGATAGTGCTGTGAATAATTATAATTCACTCAGATCTTGCATCTTTGCTTTCACAAGTCATGAATCATTGATTAAGTTATATAAGATCTGTTTCTCTGATTCTTTCAATGCATATGTTTCCAGAGAATGTGATTTGAGTATTTTATATAACTTAAATTATCTAGGTTAGAACTTCTCAGAACTCTCATTGTATATGAGAACTCACATTCTCATCTTGAGACTCAATTTCTTAACAAGTGAGTCTTGTATTCTTTTCAATTGAATTGCTCAGTTCAGAAGTAACTCATTAGCTTTTACATGTGTATAACTGATCTCTTTCAATCTTGATTTCACATCTGTGACTGTTGTATCTGTAACTGTTCTCTCTCTCATCTTTTCTGAAGCATTCTTCAGAATGTGCAGATGCAATTCATATAACAGGTAGAATGATGAATACTTGAAGACTGCATACTGTTGAATCTATGTGATCAATAGCACCTGTTCAAGATATTCATTTCATAGTCTTGTAGACTTGCTCACTAGATATTTCATCAGCATGTTGCTCAAGATTTCATTCAAGCATTTCATCTTCTCATTCATCTGTGAATGATATAACATTGTTCTACAATGTCTTATCTATAACTGACTTATGAAATGCCTCATCACTTCTCTCACAAGGTTTGCACTGTTATCAGTTAGAATCTCACACAGCATTTCATAGTTGATATAGATCTTATTATGTAGAAACTTTATCATCATCTTCTCTATTATCTCTGAAACTGCTTTTACAACTGGTCAGTCAGTAGTGTAATCAATAGCAGTGATTATTCATTGATTTTCATTTGATGTTTGCAGTAATATGTCTATGAGATTCATCTCTCATTATTTGAACAGTTGTATTATACACTTCATCTGATGTTATACTTCTTTGCATTCTAACTCTTTCTTAGATTCTTTCATAACCTGATAATTCAGGCATTTATGAGCATACATCTGAATGTTCTCAGTCATGCTTGATCAGTATGCTCTTGATTCAAGTATACTCATGAGTTCAGAGCTTTCTAAGTGACTGAATTCCTTGTGCATGCAAGTCATCAAGTCATGTTAAAATGAAGATTCTAGATAGAGAGCTTCTGTATATTCTAGATTACAGTAAAGCACAACATTGTTTTCATTTCTTAATTTCTCTAGCTTGAAGTTCAAAAGCATCTCTTCTACTACTCTCATGAGATACTTATCATTTGACATCTTGTCATTCTTCAAGTGAGAGATCATGGCATT